CACTTGATCTCAAGTCGACTCGAGATGGAACGGAGTTTCTTCACTGGTTGCACCTGGAAACCACTCAGCCCAGGCCCCTGCTGAGACAGGCTCGAACAGTAATTCGCAGGTAAATTAATCGATGGAAATTAACGAAAAATTCCGAAGTCATTTAATGAAAATGAAAAAGGGAAAAAAGAAACGCAATGACGGGTTGTGGGAATTTTTTCGTATAGTTTTTTAGTATACAGTACTCAATTCCTGGGTTTAAAATGGCAGACGAAGCTCATTGTAAAAATACAGTTGTTCATCATTTTCGTGATTAATTTGAGCATTTTTCAAATTTTTCTGATATTTCAGGAACTTTGCTCAACGTTCATCAAATCCTTTGCTTGCTGCTAGGGGAGGAAGAAAACTATAAAAAATGCCTGGCAACCCTGAGTTATTTTCAAAATTCATAAAATGAGAAGCAAGTACTGTATGCTTTGTCTCAGTCTATCTAACGCAATTAGTTTTCTATTTTTAAAAAAGCGAAAAAACCCATGACGATATAAGGAATATCTGATAACATTTATGTGAATTGATATCAGATACACGTTTTCAATCGGAGTTCCAACGCTTTTTATGACCACCAAAAACACAACGTTATAAGGAACGTAATTAAACTTTATCCGCCTCAGAAAGTGATTAAAACAGACACCGACTGACCTCAGATCTAATGACTGCCCAGAAAAAACGCTTATACATCCGTAAAAACACACTCGATTTACCCCATACCCTGAAATAAGTGAAAAAAACTTTAATTAGTTTGCTTTGCGTTCAAAGTTTTTTTTTCTGTTTTTGTTTCAGTGCTCATGGATCAACACAAACTCGTCACTTGTCCCGTATTTTTTATATAAGAAAAAAAGAATGTTGTCGAATTTCTTACTAATTGGAAACAAATTATCGACTCTCCTTCGTGGTTCAACGCAATATTGGACCAATAATCTGATTAAGATAATGAAGTTTAAAACTGCCTTTTCAGCTGATGACTCAAAAAACAGAAAAATAAGACTTTATAGGAGGCGTGTTATATCGATTTTCAGGAAGAATTCAAAGAATATTATAAATAAATTTTCTAACCTGAAAGTTCCGCTTTTATTTAAATTATTCATGTAGTCATAAAAAAGCTAGAGAAATACAGATAGCCCAGCAAATAATTTGCGTTTTGAAATGTGTTTTAAACGTGTTTCTAGCCAAAAATGCTATACATTTTGTACCTCTCTATGTTGTACCTCTCTTGTCTACTCGGGATTGTATTTACTGCGTATCTTATAGGCATTTTGAAATGACTTCTAGTTACAGCTATTTTTTGTCTTCTGGGATCAGGTGTATAACTTGAGTTATGCCTGGATAGGATTCATTACAATACTGAAACGCGTTAGATACACATTTTAAAACCCAAAAATTGTTACATTTGTTTTTTTTACTATTTTTGCCAATTTTTTACAATTTGTTGCCATACTTTTGTTGATTGTTGTGAGGTTTTGTCCTGTAAGTTTTCAATATTGTTGCTGATTTTTTACATCTTGTTGCCATTAGTTTAGTGATTGTTGTGAGGTTTTGTCCTGTATGTTTTTAATATTGTCGCCGATTTTTTAGGTCTTGTTGCCATGAGTTCAGTGAAACCGTGCAGCAATACCTGTAACAAATTATTTGCTGGGAGGTTTTGATTTCAATACATGGGGTATCCCATGGAACAACAACCTGCTGCTTGTGGAAAATGAATGCTGTTCTAAACAAGAAACATTTGTACTGCAAATTTTCACTGTCTTAATAACATGAATAAAATGTGTAGCATGAACAAGTTTTCAAAAATATAGAGCCTTCCAGAAAAATTCAAGATGAAGCCACATTTTCAGAAGCAGTTTTCATCTGAATTTTATGAGTAAGTGTGGATTGCAGATTTGAAGCATTGCATCTAATGGGCTTATGATCAAAAAGTACTCAAAAAAAGGCTTTAGAGAAGTAATGGAAATTTCTAAATTTGCAATTTTACATTTTTGGTATTTTTGGAATGAATGAAATGATTTCCCACAGAAGTCAGTGGGAAATCATGATCATCATGATGAAAAAAGCATACAATGAACATAGTGGTTGTACTCGTACCACATGCATTTGTTGTACAGATGGGACCTCAAAATTTGATCTCTTGCAATTTGACCATCCTGCAATTTGACATTTGAATTTGTCTGGATTTTGACTTGCAATTCATCCTCTGCCCCACAATTCAGCTTTCAGAGTGAAACAAAAATGTCAAATGTTATATATAGAAAACTTTGCAGTTGACATTGTCTCACAATACCACTTCACAATTTGACCCTTGCCCAGCAGCGACATATTAGAGTGAAATTGTGGATTACCACTTGAACAAAGTACCATTTGCTGTAAGAAGATACTGTATTTTCAAATACTGCTGTCATTATTTCATGGACAGTTAATTCTGCATCATCCAAGATCATGAAAGATGCATCAATGTTACCCTTTTATAACGATTGGGGATGAAAACTTCAATATTTTTTTTTTCAAGGTGTTTATCTGGAGACGGATCTTCGATTGCAAAAAGAACAAAGCAGCTGCCTTTACCTGACACTCTGAAGCGATATTTGCTGCTGAATGAAAAGTCTGCTTTGGCAGACGCGGATCTCGGCCACGAAAAGCCGGAAATCGTCTGCATCTTGGGACCGGAACCCCGATCTTTGGACCCTCTGGTGCTTTAAACCCAGCACCGTGGCGTTTCTCTTGAAAAAAACAAAGAGACTTATTCTCTCCCTTTTTTGCACTCATGCTTTGAACGAAGAAAAAAAATGCGTGCTTTTCTGCTTGAAAAAAAAAGAAACAAGCTTCTCTGCAGAGTTCCGTGTCTCTTTTCAGGAACAAGTGGGCACAGTTGAGACGGGGCGTCGGTAAAGTTGTGATACATTTCGTGCGGAGGGAGATATTTTGTTTTCTCTTCGTTTCGAGTCCTCGAAATTCGTGGTGCAACTTTTTTGAGGGGAGCAAATGCAGTTCACGACAGAGTATGAAAAAGCCGTAGACTTTTATTCACCTGAAGAAAATAATAATGAGCCACGCACAAGGCGCAGGACATTTGCTAAATTCGAAGGCTTCCGACAAAAGTCCAAATATGTCCAGAGCAAAAACAGTTTCAGATTTTATTTAAAATTACTGTTGGATCATAACGGGATTTCTTAATTTGAAGTATCTATCATTAAATTTGAATGGTTTTCAAAATTGCTCAGTCATAAACGATGATGACGCATCATCAAAATCAATTACGATCATTTTCCAATTTTTGTTCATCATTTTTAAATAATCCAGATTTGTTTCAGCCTTTTCTTTTTATTCAAGGCCTAGAATACTGAATTTCAAGTTAATTCATCTGGAGGTAATTGCGTCTTCTGTATGTTATTGTAATTTCAGTATTCATGCATATGGTGATAATATTTATTATTGTAATATTATTCATTTTTAATGCAGTGAAAGCCCAGCAGTTAAAATGCTTGATTCTCTCAGCTTTTATTTTGAATAAAAAAAAATTTACTGGTATTGTAGTCCAGGCAATATTTTTTGTGCAGGATCATCACTAATCTCTCTGAATGAATGAATGAACAAAACACTCTATTTGCAGCTTTTCAGCATTCACAAGGCACAACCAAGACTCCTGCATCCAAACCCCTCCCCACCCAACCCAACTCCCTCCAAATTTTAATTGAATCTCTGTCTGAAACCCCGTACTCAAAATAGACCAACTGAAGAGCCTAATTCTTGTTTTTTCCCCTCGCCCCCCTTTTTTGGATCGATTAGGTCAACCGGGTGACATGACATTAGTTGAATGAACAATTTAGAGAGAATCTTTGATGAGAAATCATATAAGGCCAAAAATTTATCTTGATCCTATGATCTCTCTGTATCCCTTTTTTTCTACAAATATTTTTCAGAGGTGTTTGGATTTGACTTTTGCATAAATTCATTTTTACTTAGGTACACCTGTATTTTTTGGGTTTCCTTTCTTGTGGATCTTGTAATTTCTTTATTACCATCAAATTACAAAATATTTTTTCTCTTTTAAAAGTATAGGAACATACTGCTGTGTATTCAAGGTGTCCCCCATTTTATTTGTGTCAATTTATTTTCAGCATCCATGCTCTTGGTTAAATTAATACCAACACCCATTATATAAAAGAGACTTGAATGACCAATGAACGGGTAAAACACTTCGAAAAAAATGCAATTGAGTTTTGTCTAATTAATTGTTTAATTGCTTCCACACACCCCAACATTTTTATTACACCAAGGACAATACTTAATTATTTAATGATTTACTTTAGTAGGATGTCTTCAAAGATAATAATCGAAGCGATTGATTCAATCGCACCTTAAGCCGATGATTCAGCAACTACGCAAAACAACCTATCTTATATTTGCACATCAGATTCTCTGCCACCACGAACCTCAGCGCTTTACGACACACCAAAAGCAAGGTCATGTCACCCGGTTGACCTAATCGATCCAAAAAAGGGGGGCGAGGGGAAAAAACAAGAATTAGGCTCTTCAGTTGGTCTATTTTGAGTACCGGGTTTCAGACAGAGATTCAATTAAAATTTGGAGAGGATTACGACATCAATCGAGCCACATTTCGTGAGGTCATTAGTGTACGTAGGCAGCAGTGTATCAGTACAGTACTGTACATGGCAGAATTGGTTCTGTGCTTGCTTCTGTTCGAGCCGTGTTTTTTATTGCCCTTTTTTCACAATTGATCAATTTGGTTTTTACGAATCAGCGCTATTCCGGAAAAAAAAGACGCTACGCTTTTCCCAAGTAACCCCAGGTCAAGTCTCTATAATTTCGAGATCACCGAAATTCGGCTGATCAACACGGCAAATCAATGTTTTACAATCATGAACGTGTTTCAAATTGTGCATGAAGCTGACATTTCAAAAAAATATACGTTTGAATATCAAAGATCATGACAAAATCTTGTATTTATAGAAACCAGTGAAATAAAATTTGTACAATCCTCAATAGAAAGAAAATTCGGGGGAAATTTTGGATGCTTCTCTTTGTGACCAAGACAAGATGATTAATGTATTCGTTATACGGAGGATTCATTATTCAGAAAATTCGTGCATTATTAGAAGGTTCGCCAGAAAGCGTAAAAATTTTCAGAGACGAATTAACCATTTTTGAATTGGCGAATTTTACTGTTTCACAGAAAATGTTTTAAATTCAATTCGGTTTTTGTAAACAGGGATTTTTTTGACCAAATTGAATCGAACGTCGTGATAAAAAACATGCATGCCTAATAAGTGTGATGCTCTTTGAATCTCGATGTAACGACATTTTCATAGTAAGCTTTCTTTTTAGGTTCCACTTGCTTCGTTGTAACGAGATACCTTTGCAGAATACTGTCTCACCTTTTCCTGAATTTATTTTTCTGCTGTACTTGAGCAATTGCAATAAATTCGTAACGTTCCAGAGAGAAAATCCACATATAGATTAAAAGGGTAAAAAAAAAGAATATAGGAGTACTGTACTGTACATCAGTGTACATTTATTTTTCTTGGATTCTACGCCTTTTTTTCTCGTTGATGATCCATGGAATTTCCATTTGACAGTGTAAATGTCATGTACACTGAGCTATATAACGCACCTCCGGGTGTCAGTATCAGAATTGGGCTCCCGATTCCGGGTTTCTTTTCTGCATGCAGCGGGAATTGCGGAAGTGGAAATAAAAAGGCGAAAATGAAGGATAACAACCAAGAGGACGAAAAATAAGCTACCGATGCGTGGCCAATGGTGCGGAGATTTATGGGGTGCACCGCAATGGTGCATGAAGGGGCCAAAAGGTTCACTGTCTGGACCAGGTGTCAGGAGGGCAACCCACTCCTGAGGCAAAACCATTCCCCTTTTCATGCTAAAAATAACTACTAAGACTACAAAAGCCAGAATAACAGTCAGAAAATTGTGTGGTAGCTGGAAAAGGATTTTGAATTTCAGACAAAAAAAACCTGAGATTTCTCAGTTGTTGGTTTTTGGACGAAGTCTATTTCAAATAATTGAGGGGCACTTCACCCTTTATAGGAAATACATTTTTTGTCATTGTTGGACATGCATGCTGTGTAAAGTAAAGTGCTCTAGTGTACTTGATTCTTAGACATAAAAGGTATTCCCCCTCCTCAAAATTTCAGTACCAGGAACATCCTGGCACCGCAGCATCCTCAACAATAACCTTTCCTATTGTGATTGTAAAGTAAAACCTTATGAAGGTTAATTACCATATTTACTTGAGTACCACACGCACCTTTTTTCTCAAATTTCAGAAGAAAAAAAGGGGTGCGCGTCATAAGCAGGTACAAATTTAAAAACTTGCATTCTGAAGGCTGCGCAATTCAATTCCTTTGTCTGGGATCCAATGGACCCATGACAAGGATAACAGTCAAAAAATTATGTGGTTGCTGAATTTGCCATTTTTGTGCAAGTACCACAAGTAACTTTCTTCAGCAAAAATTAGGGCAGATGGAGATATAATTTTTTTTTTTATCATGAAACTGTTGGTGCTAGTCATGCTGAGGGAGTCTTTGTAAAGGGGTTAGAAGAATCAATAGGTAACTCTGTTTGGTATACTTGTCTGTTAGAGTGCTTCAGATCGAGGTTATTATGATTATTTACATGGTTATTTAGTTGAAATTGTTGTGTTTACTTGATTATACCGAATGCACCTTCTTCTGAAAAAGGTGCAGCTGCTATATATGCCTTTTTTTTTTTACAGAAAAAAGTACATTTTTCTGAAATAATATGTCCTTGTGTGGTGCACAGGCCACAAAAGTGAGAACTTAAGGCTTTGTTAAATAATATTTCAAGCCATGAAACACACAATCCGCCAGGGAACACAGTATAGGGGATTTTCTTGTAAAATATGAAGGAAATAAGATCATAAGCACAAAAAATGGACGAAAAATGGAATTGTTGCAACTTAAATTCGTTATAACAAGATACTGTATGTTGTCCCAAGATAATAAAGTAACTGGAACATCAATTTTATGTTGTTCCCATGAGCATGTTTTATTGAGCACACAAAATTCCTCTCATTAGAAAATTCTCCAAAGCGTAGCGGAATTGGTTTCTAAAGGTGACAGTGAAGTACAATTCAAGCATGGATTTGATTGAAGTTCTTTAACTTTATTTTGAGGGATCCTACACCGATTTTTTTTTCCGAGTGGGCGACGAAGGTCGTCGGGTTTTGTACCCATGCGACAGAACAGAACACTATACAACGCCGCAGGGTGAAAATCTTTTTTAATTGCGTCCGCGATCCCGATTCCGACAGTAATTATCCATTCCTTGAGTTCCAACACATAGGAGAACCACACACCTCACCTCACCTCACCACAGCAAAAAAAAAAAGTCTGGCTTCTCGGGTCATCAAAAGTTTAGATAAATTGGACAAATAAAAAGAAGGCGGATTTCATAAGCGGCGCTTTCTAAATAAATAAGGAGCTCAGTGTTCTGCATGCAACCGGAATTTCAAGGATGAACAAAAACCGTTGACGATGATGACGATGAGCTTTCAATCTTTAAGAACAGTTATTAAAACCCTTGGATTTTTCCCAGAGTGCTTCCCAGCATATTTTACACTAAATTCTCAACAGGGGTATCGTGTGACGTAAACTGACATCTGGGAATTCCTGAGCAAGGAGATAAAAATTCTATGACCACATTATTCCTCCTTCGCAATAACTCGTCATCGCAAAAAACTGTCACGTCCAACAAATTTGCCAACCTAGAGTATATATATTCGACAACTCATTTTCCTCCAGTTCTTGGATTTAAAGGATCTGACTTTCGGAAACTGCGTTGAAATTTGAGTGTTTGTAAGAAAAATTTGTTGAATTCGTCCAGCAACGAATTACGTTGCAACTTTCCCTGGAAAAATAATTCAGCATTCAATCTTTAGGTTTTGAACATGAAATTTGAAGCAAGTATAGTGGATTTTTATTTGAATTGCAGAGAAAATAACTGCCAAGAAC